TGTATTGTATGATGTAAGTCACTCTTATATCTTTTGATACTTGTGGTCGACCTTATGTTCTCACTCAGAAGTCTTTAGGAAATGAGTTAAGTATTATTCTTAGATGAAGATTTTAAGCAAATCCAAGTATTGTTCTTAGTTAAGAGTCTTGACTAAGTATTGTAATGGAAGTATGATATTCTTGTTGAGTTACTCTCGATACAGTCACTGGGATTGGGACTGTTAGATATCACTGAGGTGATTTAGGAAGTGAGATGACGATTTCTCATTTTTAGGAGGTTCATAGGTAGAAGTTGTATTGGATAGAGATTAGGCGAGAAGTTATAAATTGAGATTGTTTAGCTTTGAACTAATAATACTGATAGTGGACTTCCTTCCTGATTTGGTAGTCCTCAGATGTAGGTGATGTTGCACCGAACTGGGTTAACGACTCTATGTGTTATTTCTTATTATGTAGTTTATGTTTCAATATTTTTTATAACTTGATAAATCTGCTTATTATGTCAAATAAGATGTTGTAACATATGTCTTGACGTCGTTCTGATGTTGGAATATCAGTATGAAAATGTCTTGCCTGAACATAAGAAATTTCATGTATCAATTAGAATTAATTGTAATTATTGTATTACCTTATTATATAAAACTCATATAAATATTCTAGTGTGATTTCAGTAGACACACAATATTATACTTAAAAATACCTTTTAAGATCTGATGCACCACGGTTGTCGCTGCCCATCATTATTTCCATGCTTGACTTCTAGTCTTATTCAACCCTTGATGTTTAGTCTTAGGCGTTTCATACTTCAGATGTCTAGTCCTAGACTTGAGGGTATGACATGTTTTTATAAGTGAGAGTAATGTTGGATGTAAAGAGGGAGAATAGTGGTTAAGCTTTAATAACTAAATCTAACAGAGTTTGTTTTAACAATTTGAATTCAGTTATTCTAAGCTCTAGCTAGTTTACTTGTTATATAAGAAATAACTCTTTTTTTTGTAATAGTTAGTTGTAAGTAGGGGTGTTCAAAACTAAATCGGCCCAATAGAAAATCGTAAAATTGAACCAAACTAAATTAAAACCGTAAAAAATTGTATTTAATTCAAATGTGTTTGAGTCATTTTCTAACGGAACCGTGCAGTTCGATTTTGTTTGCGGTTTGTATTTTACAAACTAAATCAAACCACATTATGTTATTAATTCTTACTAACCAATATATATTTCTTTAATTCTTTAGAGAAATCAACATGTATTATGTGTATATTTTATCATATTCTTTGTATGATATTTATTTTAATTTACAAATCATAAAAAATGAAATATTATTCATTTATAAATACTATTTTCATAAAATATATTTTATCGTATTCTTTATATAATATTTATTTAAGAATGCAATCTTATGTATATCATTCTTTAGATTTAGATAAAATTATAATACGCAATTTTATGTATCAAATTATAAATTTGTTTTGACAATTATAAATTTTTTTATGGTAATCTATGAATGATTAAACACAAAATTATATTTTTCTCTATATGTATATGTATGGCTCAATAATTTTTTTTGTAAAAAACCGAACCAATCCAAACTGTATTAGTTTTGTTTGGTTTGGTTCAATTTTATTTTTAAAAGTCAATCAAACCAAATCGAACCACATATTTTTTTCTTGCAGTTCGGATGATTTTTTACATCAAAACCGCTCAAACCGCACCGCAAACACCCCTAATTGTGAGTAATAGAAATCTTCATTTCCATCATTTCTTTTCTTCTTTCATGGATAATTCACTCTTAGCTTGAGTCTTAACAAGTGATCCTTACTTTACAAACTAATTTTATAAGATTGAGTTAGGTTCAAAAGATTTGGAGTTGACTAGATTATGATATTTGAGAAAAACTTAAATAGTGTTCTCGTCCATGTAAGTTACTGAATTTTTGAATTTGGTCTCTGAAGTTTTTTTGTGTGTGAGTCCTCGTAATATTTTAAGGTTATATGTTAAAGGCAAAATTTTCAAAATTGATCCAAGAAGAATTCAAATTCTAGACCTATTGTTTACAAGAACACTACATTACCACTAAGCCACAACTTGTTTATTTATTGCAATGCATAAGTATATATTGGATATTAGCGGAATATTTTTTATAGTAGCAGCATATTTTCTTTTATATAATAATATTAATTTTTTAAATGTAAAATATAATTAAATAATAATTAAAATATTTTGTGTTGAAAAAATAATATGAAATAATTACTTAATATATGATAATTGAAATATTTAATAATTTATTTAATATTTTATTGATTAAATAGTTTATTAAAAAAATTATATAAAAACCAATTCACTATTATATTAATATTTTAACTATTAAATTTATGATTTATTAATATTAAAATTCAAAACAAAACAAATTTTTTTTCAAAACAACTTACTGCATTACCTAATATATACGTATGCATCGTAAATATTAAACAGAAAGTACTAGTGGTTTGGTGGAAAGGAATAAAGGCAATGAGTTAGAGGGAGAGGTTTCAAACTTTTTTTAGTAGAAAATACTTAAAAAAATTTATAAATTTATTTAAGTAAAAAGGCTAGATTACAAGCCATAAATTTTTTTTTTAAGTTTATCGAACTAACTTATTTTAATAAATATGAATAATTTTATTATTATTATATTTTATTTTCTAGTTGAAAATAAAGCTTAGTTATCTTAAAGAATTTATAAAAATAAGTGGAAAATCCTCTATGAACAATGTTATAAATTATTGTCATAAGTTTTTTCAAACAAGTAGTAACACAAAATTTATGATAATAAGTAAACTCAAATGAGTCAATGAAAATAAATATTTAGTCTCATTAAATTTTAATTTTTTAACTATTTAACATTAATTGAATTGTTTATTTACGAATGTTCAAATGAAATAGACTTTTAAGTAAAAGACTAATAGATCAATTAGGATTTCGAAAATACTAGACTCAAACTTAAAAATAAAACTATAATATACTACATATCAAACTTTGTCTTTAAATTTTTTAACAAATCAGACTCAAGCTTAATAAAATCTAACTCAATTCAATCTATTCTCACCTCTAATTATGAATTCAGTTTTTCTTTCTCTAAAAAATATGATAAGTACTTCCTTCATACCAAAATAAAAGAAAGAAAATAAAGGCATCGACTCAAATAATAATTAAAAAAAAAAAACTTTTATCTCTTTAAAATAAAATTTAAATATAAATTGCATTCTCCTTCATTTTTTCATAACCAATATCAAGTAAAATTATTTCTACATTTTTATAAAAAGTTTATTTAAGAAAAATCACAGTATAACAAATTTAGTCTATAATAGCAACAATTTAATAACACATTTTAATAAAATGTTATTAAAAATACAGCCAAAAACCTATAATAACATTTTTTTTAAGGCACTATTACGGAGTGACTCATAATAGCATTTTTTAAAGAGTGTTATTATAGAGTGCTGGAAAAAAAAATAACTTGGAAGACTCTTCAATAGCGTTTTTTGAAAATTATTTCTAGTAAATTTATTTAAAAAATCACTTAATATTTTTTCAAAATAGAAAATTATTTCTCACTCTACTAAAACTTTCAATCGTTAATTAGTTTAATGGTGATTGACGTTGGATTTAATAGAGAAGACCATTTTTTATCCCCGCGGCTACTATCAGAAAGGACTAGAATCATTTGATGTTAGAACTGACCCTCGAACCGAACTATATCGGTGGTGATAAGAAAAAAAAAAACATTCAACCTTATAACATTTTTTTTTGGGTCAAACTAGATGAAGAGTTTTGATTCATTTGTTGCACACTTTAATACACTGTTTTGGTTAATTTGTTGGAGAAAGTGGTTGGGAGTTTTGCTAGATATGTAGTCATCTTAGCAAGGTTAGAACAAGCTTTAGATATTATCAAACACTTTATATGTTGTAATAGAATAAATTGTTCAGCAACTATGAGGTAATAAATTATGTTGGTGTGAGCTCAATTTTAGGAGACAACATTAATATTTGTAGAAATTAAAAATATTTTTAACTTACTCCTATTACTTATTAGTGGCAAAATGTTTTTTTTTCCTAAAGTTGTTCCAAATGTGCAGCTCCATCTTTGTCAGCTTCGCCATCAACATCTTCTACGACTTCATCCACATTAGTTAAACCTGTTACAGAAGAGATCGAAGAGAGCCACATTGATGCAGATATAGAATGACACCATTTTCGCTGCTAAAGCTTCCGTTAGAACCAATGTCATGCCTCAAACGCAAAATAAAAAGTGTCCTGCAATATGTCTATTATTTATCTGGACAGAATTTTATCTGACACTGGTTCCCAAGGATTGAACTCATGTGGAGTGATACCCACCCCTAACTTGGATGCTCTGGCTGTCATCGATGCAGTTGGAGGTGTTGCTCTAGCTGATATTATTGTGCCACGAATAATAGAACAGTTTAGTGCAGAAGCCACAATTAAAATCAATTCTCAACTGTTCACACATTTCTTTGACCAGCACACATAGTTTATCACTAGTTCCACGACAAAATTGCTTTCATATTTGATCGATCTAGCATGTCGGGCTGATTACAACTGTGCTCAATTATTTGTTAGATATTCATTAAACACATAAATATTGTGTCCCTAAAATTCCTGGTTCTTCTACTAGACCCATATGGATGAAACCTATAAAGAGATAATCATCCTTATCAGTTCCCCCTTATCATTTAGTAAAACTTCCATTAAATTCATCTAATAAATAAATTACAGCGAAAATACATTCTGGAAAAGAATAGAGTAATACAATGCACCTAGAACAAACTTGTGTCCTACAAAATTTATACCCCCTTCTAAGATATATCACTGCTAGCAGTATAGCTAAAGAAATTCCCACAAACAATGGATAAGTTTATTGCAGCATTTACTCTGCAAAAAAATTCACTATGAAAATATGGCTAAATCAATACGAAACCTAAGTTCACCTTCATTGACTATGGATGTTTCTTTATTTTGTTGCGGTTTTCGTTAGCAATCGTTTGAAACTCTTTCTCACTAGCTGCAACTAAGTGTTTGACAATGTCATATGTGGTAAGCCTGATGCTGCAAAAATGCCGGGTAACTAATCACAATCTACTTCAAATTAAAATAAATCACCATGATTGATTGTGCGTGATCTTAAACAAAAAATCAATTTCAAACATGATGTTATCAGCTTATTTTTCAGCAAATTTACTCAACGTCACAAGATGTTATTTATGTATCAACTATCAACAAAATTGGAATTTAAGGAAATCTAATCAGTAGTTAGAACTAAATAGATCACAAATACCTGCTGTTTGGTAGGTTTTTTAAGGCATTGGGCACAAATCCGCGATACAAGCCAATAACTCCATCCCGTGCCACAATACCTGCATCAACCAAAAAATAACTTGAAGACAGAAGCATTTAAACTTCAACTATTCTCCGTCAGTATGTGCTTACACCAAAGAATATTGCAATTTTTACACCAATAGAGGAAATTATTTTATCTTATACGTTTCTTACTAATTCAAATTATTAAACTAAATGTGTGCACAAATATACGAATGTCCATGACTATAAAATGATGATGCTAAAAATAAAAGCTAAGCAATCCCGACTAACCTGAAATGGCATCTAATACTGTCTTATAAGGTGTTCCCTTCAGTTGCATCTGTCTTCGAACTGTGTCCAGAGGATAGCACGTAAGTGTGGCAAGAGACGCTGAAAGCACGGCGGTGATAAGAGATGCTTCGGTTCTCTTTTGATATTTCTCCGGCAACGACTTCTTTAGTCTATTACCCGTACGAGGTTAGGATGTTTTTAAATTTCAATGTCAACATCCAAACTCCAATGTATTTAAAAGATAAAGAGATTACTGATGAACTCACAAGTCAAAAACACAAAAGTTAACTGCAATATATGGAGCTATTCCAATAAGAGAAGGCCCAAGGCCATAGTAGAAAGATGCAAAACCTTCCTCTCTTATCATGCTCAAGGCGACCTAGAAAAACCACAATTTGGTTCATTAAATCAAGGAGATCTAAGGAAAATGTCTAAAGAGGCTAATCGCATACCTCTGTCATTGTTCGACACCCAGGTTCAACAGCTAATCGTAATCTCAAGACATCTAATGGGTAAGTTATCTACATGAATATAAACAAAGAAAGATATATTGACATACTATGAAAGCACTAAACCTTTTCTTGGTAAACATATTTAACATTATGAAAGCACTTGTAAACCATATAAGGATAGGTCTCATAATGAACTACTTACAAAAGTTGATGTCATGCCCGCAAAAGCACCTGCTGCAAGTCTTCCCACAACAGAGAGGTCACCATTTTTTCCTTGGAATATTTTCTGTAAATCCAAAACTATAACTTAGACCTGAGCATGCAATGTTTGGTATAAGAAACTCTTGAAAGATAGTTAGTGATTAACCTTATAAATTTCATAAGCAAAGAGCTGGACTGCACTATAAGGTATAACCCTAATAACCTGGAAAGAAACACTAAAACAAATAAAAAAGACTACACAACATTATAAGAGATATACATGCAGAAATACCTAGTGACACAAACCTGAGGTAGGTTACCCTTCCAGTAACCTCTAATGCCTTCTTCATTCCCTATCATTGTTATTGCCTGCAAATCTTGTCAATGTAAGCTCCAATAAATTTCTAGGTCATGTTCTAATAAGTAATCAAAGTGCCAAATCCATTTAATATGGGCAAAAATTATCATCAAGGAGTTTGAGGAGGCCATTAACTTACAGTACAAGAAAAATAAATATAAAATCCTTGACCAAAGGAGTTTTTTGTTTGAAAAAAAATCAGAGAAGTAAATTAGTGTCAAAAAGAAAACTAAAGGCAAATTGATGGGCTCTTTTACCATTTAGAACGCAAATTGGATCACTAATTACAAAAGTAGTGTAGATTTTAGAACAATTACTAATCAAAGGAAAGCCGTACATCTAGAACATAATCATGGAATACAAGTCATGCATGAGATGTACAACTTACTTTTTAAAGTTACATGTTATCACAAGTTTAAAAAATAAAATAAACATGTGAAAGTCCTATCTATGATACAAGCTTCTATTTTTGTAACATAACATAGTGATAAAATTTAGTACATTTAGTACGCCGGGTGTCCTTTAGCAGTTAAGGACTTGTGTTGATAAAATTTTAAACTGTCCAAGGTTGCTTGATATTAAGGTTCAGCAGAGCTCTAGTTTTGTATACATGAGTTCTCTTCGATGGAACTATCCTATAGCTGAATGGGTGAGAGTAAATTGTGATGGAGCAGTGGCCAATCAAGGGCATAATAGTGCTTTAGGGGGAGTAGTTTGAAGTTGTGATGGTGAGTTTTTGTGGGGCTTTGCTGCGAATATTGGTACCTGCAGAATTATATCAGTTGAGTTGTGGGCGATCAAAAAAGGGTTTCTTTTAGCTATCTCAATAGGCTACCAACTAAATGCAAGTGAATCTGATTCTTGGTGGCTGTTAACCTCTTGATGAAGAGTGGTTGTTCATCGTTCGGTAACAAGTACACTCCAAGGGCAAAACAGCCAATGATTGGCAGTTTCATACCAAAAAATAGGACAAGTTCATTCCTCTATATAACTAATATTACGTTGAATTACAGTTTCGATACAAAATAATGGGAAGAGAACACAAACAGTAAGAGATATGATCATAGTATGTAAAACAACAACAATCCTAATATCTCAACAGCTAAAAGTATTAACCATTTAAATTTAACATGTCTACTGTATTTTGAAATGAAAAATGAAAAATACTGTAACAGTTTAAAAAACTTCCACAGCTTACTAACGACTAACAAGAAACAAACCTATTGTGTTAAGCATTTACAAACACATAACTCAACCATAAACTTTCACATATAACCCAAGCACTGCATAAACTTTTATCACATAATCAGAGTACTTTAGTTAACATTAAATTAGAACTCATTTTGAACCCTAAACTTACAAGAGCTATGCTGACAACCTACTTTATCACATCAGATTTTTCATTTCTTCACTAAATACTCAATTTGGTCGCTAAAATTGTATGATTTTCAGCCTAGTCCTCTACATTAACAATAGTCCAAAATGATTCTTGAAACTACAAAATATTAATCAGATTCATCTCTTTGTTGATATTTGCATTGACTATGACATTAAGTTACTTGTAAGTTATGCATTTCAATCTAAGTCAATAATGTGAATTTGAAATATTAATAATATGAATGATTAATTTTTTTATACATTTCTAGAAAATTCATTGGGCAATTAATTTTAATTGAATTTTTCCAAATTAAAATCAAGTTACAATATCATGGTTTTAAAAAACCGTCAGCGACCACAAAATGGCTGCGACAAAACGGTATTAACAAATGCCAATACCGATATCATTATCACAGCTTTTATGTTAAAGAGCAATTTGTGGTTAATTCAGACCGCAAAGACAACAGTCAATATCGCGACACCTGCCGTCACTGAAATCGCGAAAGTCTTTTATGCGACCTCCAGGTTTTTAAAACTCTACAATGTTATAGTACCTCAATAAAACCAATTGTCTTCTTCGCACTTTCTTGACCTATTCGCACTCCATGAGTCTGCAAAACGCAATGTCGTTTCACGAACATCAAAGAAACACAATTTTCCAAAACAACAATGCCATAGCGAGAGTACAAACAAAACCGCAAATCAACCTGCATGAGAAGCTTGATGCGATCAAGTGGAGCGGTGACGGTCCTAGCAGCAGCACCAGCAACAGCTCCCGCGAGAAACAGAGCGGCATCTTTGGGAACAAGAGCGACAACGGCGAGCGGGTGGTTTAGAAGCTGAGCCACCGTCGGAGTGAATTCCTTGCCAGGTTTAGTTTGCGACGCGGAGACGCTGGCGAATTTAAGACGAGCGACATTTCCGGCGGTGAGAGTGAAGACGGCGTCGTTGAAGAGGTGGTTGGGTGAAACGACGTCGTGGGAAGAGGAATTGAGGAGGTTGGGGATGTTGCGCCACGTGGCGACTGTTTTGGTGTTTGTGTCTGTCATAAAGATGAAGCTAAACAATTCAAACGTGAAAGAGATCTGAGAATCAGTTACACTTCATTTCCAATTCTCACCATTTTTGTAATCCAAATCATCTTAGCATAGGAAAAAAATTGATTTTGAATGACTAATGGAAACTGATTTATATTTTAAATAAGTTTTTCGTAAATAAGTTAAATTCGATTTTAATTCTTATACTTTTTTTGAATAATATTGTTTCTAAAAATTTTCGTTCATATTTTTAATTTCTCCCGTTAAAGTCATGATTAGAATCATCGTTAATTTAGTTATTAAGTAAAAATTTTATTAAAACAATTGTTAATTATATCACGAAATTATAAAAAAAATTTATTAAATTGTAGAAGGAATAAAAAATTTGTTAAAAAAGATATTAAAACATCACTCTTTGATTTTTTTTTAGAAACTAAGAATGAAATATAAGAAATTTAGAAGGATCACATATATATAATTGAATTGAATAATGTAAAAAAAATTAAAAATTAAAAATTATTTTTAAATTAAATTAATTTTGAAGAGAAAATCAATTCTATTTTAAAAGAATTGAATACATATTTTTAGAATTATTTTTGTCTCTTCTAAAAATAAATTATTTTTGATGGGAACATTCCTTGACCAGTGTCATGACCTCTCGACACTAACTCTAGACACTAGGATCTCATTCTTCTAGAAATCAGGGTGTGAAAGCAAAAAAAAAAAATATAATTATTCTAATCATAAGTTAATGTATAGGCAAAATACTATTTTAAGTTTATTAACTTTTTCTCAAGATCTAATTTGATCCTTTAAATTTTAAAAAGATCAAATTAATTCTTTAACTCTTAAAATAGTGTCACATTTATTCTTTTTGTTAGGTCCGTTAATTAAAATAAAAAAGAGGGTTTAGTTGGCAAAAAAAGTGTGATGATGTGGAAATAACATTACAACAAAAAAGTAGTTCAAAGGTTGTATTAAAAAATCACTTAATCAGTTAAATAAACCTTGGTAGAAAAATTGTGCGCAAAGGCAAGGAGGAGACAAGATGATTTGCCAAATCAAAAGCATTTTTGAAGGCGATATCACATAAAGGAAGTGAAGACGATATTGAAGACATCATTGTTAAATACAGGTTAGTACGCTTTTAGCCTTTTTCAAATGTTATTTGTATTAGATTTTATGATTCTATGTATTTAGTTATTTTAATATTTAGGGACTCAAAATGTATTAATTTTTAAGGCTTTGTCTTTTCAAATTTTATTTGTTTCTGAAATAGGTCACAATTTAATTTCAAAATTGATTTGAATAGGTCAAAATGAATAAATATTTACATATAAGAATTCATCATAGTGGTTAATTCATTGCTGATGAATTAAGTGTGTATGAAGAAGGGCTAGTTGATGATTTGAAAATAGATGTTAACAAGTGGAGTTTTTTTTTAGTTTGTAGGTGCACTAAAGGAGTTAGGTTATAGGAAATTTGAGACAATATATTACAAGAACTCCACATTTGGGATGAAAGATTTCGTTGATAACAAAGGTGCATTAGAAATTATTGATCTTTATAGGATGCATCTAAGTGTTGATATATATATATATATATATATATATATATATATATATATATATATATATATATATATATATATATATATATATATATATATATATATATATATATATATATATATATATATATATATATATATATATATATATATATATATATATATATATATATATATATATATATATATATATATATATATATATATATATATATATATATATATATATATTTGAGATATTGGATCAAACTTTATTGGGTCGAAGGATAGCTTTGTGGTTCAACAAGTTCGGTAGAGGTTAGCATGCAGTTGAAGGTCACTCACATGTCAGTGTCAAAGTAGTGTATGTTGTAGTTGAAGTATGGTCAAGCATGCAGTTGTCAAAATTGCTAGGTTACTAGCATGTCAAATTGGACATGTTTGTCATGTACAATTGTTTAAGTTAGCTTGTACCCTAAGTTAGTTTGTAATGGGCATTTGTGAAAAAATCCATTAGTTTAGTATGTTAGGTTTATTATAAATAGCATACTAGTCTCTCATTATTGCATACTGTAAATCCTAATTTAGGGTGAGAGGGTTATTTGTTATTCTTGTAACATTTGTAATCTTGTTTGAAGAGAAAGTATAGAATAACTGTTATAACCAATCCTTGTTGTTCTTCGTGTTCCTCATTATTTTCTACCCTTGTGTGTTTCTTGATCATAAAGAGATAATTTATACTTTATTTCCAAGACATCGTTTTCACAACAAATTGGTGTTATGAGCATGGTGAATATGTCGTCAACAAATTATGAGATTGAAAAGTTCATCGGAGTGAACGGTTTCGGTCTGTGGTGCTTGAAGGAGAGAAAAGTATCTTAAGAGTCATGAAGGGTTCGAAGGAAGTCTTAAGAGGTGTGAAGAAACAAGGCTTGTATACCCTTGAGGCTGAAGTTTTAAATGGTCCAAAAAATGTTGCATCCATGAAACCTCTGTTGAAGACAAAAAATTTTCACATGAGATTGGGCCACGTCAGTGAAAGGGGTCTGGTCGAATTGGGGAAACAAAATTTTCTTGGTTTAGACAAAGTTGAAAAAGCTGAAGTTTTGCGAACCATGTGAACTTGGAAAATCTTGTTGAGTGAAGTTCAACAAAGGCAAACAAAGAATACATAGATCCCTTTATTACATCCATGTTGATCTTTGGATACCTACAAGGTGTCCAACAGATTGAGGAGCAAGGTATTTTCTATCCATAGTAGATGATTATTCTAGAAAGTTATGGGTATTCATCCACAAGACTAAGGATGAAACTTTTGAGAATTTTAAAAGTTAGAAGACTCTGGTCGAAAATCGGACTGGTTGAAAGGTCAAGAGGTTGAGAACAGACAATGACCTTGAATTTTTTAATGAGGCTTTCGACAGTTTTTATGATGCCTCTAGTATTACAAGGCTCATAACTATTGCAAGTACTCCACAACAAAATGGTTTGGATGAAAGGTTTAATCGAACTATTTTGGAGAGAGTTAGATGCATATTGACTAGTGTTGGGTTAAAGAAGGTGTTTTGGGCAGAGGTTGTTTCGACATCAACATATCTAATAAACATATGTCCTTCGACTTTATTATATATGAAGACACCTGAAGAAGTTTGGTCGGAACATCCACCAGATCTCGACAAACATAGAGTATTTGGCTGCATAGCCTATGCTCACATTAAGCAAGACAAGGTCGAACATAGAGCTCTGAAGTGCATGTTTATGGGATACCCTGAAGGAGTCAAAGCGTATAGGCTATGGTGCCTAGAGCCAGGTCATATGAGGAGTATCACCTGTCGAGATATAGTTTTCAATGAAGCTAAAATAGATTTCAAGAAAACTAATGATGTTAGTTGAAGTGCAGAAATATCTGACGAAGAGCTGGAACAGGAAGAGATTCCTGTTGAGGTGGAGCATGTTGATACTGAATTGTGTATCCCAGATAAAGTCGAAGAAGAAGCTAAAGATACTGAGGAAGTTGAGGAAACTCTCGATGACTACCTGTTGGTAAGAGATAAGCCAATAAGAGTCACCAACCCACTTCAGAGACTTGGGTATACATATCTTGTAGCTTATGCCTTAATCTCTGCAAGTGAGGTTCTAGACGAAGAAACTAAAGACCATAAGAAAGTTATGAGAAGTTGAAATAAGACTGGATAGCTGAAGGTTATGGATGATGAGATGAAATCTCTTCATGATAACAACACCTGGGAATTGATCAAGAAACCTGCTGGAGCCAGGTTAGTCAACTGCAAGTGGATTTTCAAAGTTAAGGAAGGAATCAAAGGAGTGGTGTCGAAAAGATACAAGGAAGGTTGGTCGCAAGGGGTTTCACTCAGAAAGAAGGTGCCAACTTCAATGATATGTTCTATTTTATTATGAAGCACAAATCCATTCGAATGTTGCTTGCCATGGTGGCACAATTCGACCTTGAACTGGAACAAATGGATGTGAAGATTGTGTTCTTGTATGGTGATCTAGATGAAATAATCCTGATAAGGCAACTTGAAGGGTATGTCAAAAAGGGGTAGGAAGATTATATGTGCAAGCTAAAGAGATCTTTATATAGACTGAAAAAATCTCCTCGGCAGTGGAATAGGAGATTCGATAGGTTCATGGCACGCATAAGTTTCATTAGACGTCAGTTCGACCATTGTGTTTACTTCAAATTTTGACCTGGTAATTCATTTGTTATTTTGTTGCTTTATGTGAATGATATTCTCATAGAAAGCAACAATGTCGAAGAAGTAATGAGGTTGAAGGCTGAACTTAATAACAAGTTTGACATGAAGGATCTAGGATCTTCATCCATGATTTTTGGGATTAACATCAGAAGAGATAGAAAGCAGTCAAAATTATGCTTATCTCAAGAGGCATACCTACGGAAGATTCTCGACAAGTTTGGTATGTCAAATTCAAAGTTTGTTGTGACTCTAACAAACCCTAAATTCAAGTTGAGTATAGATCAGTGCCCCAGTACTTATGTCGAAAGAGCTTATATGAATATAATACCATATGCTAATATAGTAGGTTCTTTGATGTATGTTATGGTATGTACTAGACCTGACATTAGCATATGCACTAAGTCTTGTAAGCAGGTACATGGTGAATCCTGGAAAGGCTCACTGGCAAGCATTGCAATGGATTCAAAGGTACATAAATGGGTCTTTTAATAGATTCCTAATTTATGGTGGGGCCTTGGGTGAAGATAGTAAAGCAGTAATTGAAGGATATGTCGACTCTGATTATGCAGGTTGTATGGATTCCAAAAAATATATTTATGGATATGTTTTCACTATGTTTGGCATAATAATTAGTTGGAATGCGATACTTCAGAAGGTTGTAGCGTTATCAACCACTAAAGCGGAATATATCGCTCTCACTGGAGTTGTGAAAGAAGCATTGTGGCTTGAAGGTTTTGCTAAGA